TTATATATATATATACACTATACCTTGTGCCTACACGGCTGATATCTGTTCACTCATAGATATGCAAATGTACATACATGATAGAATCAGGAGTAACAAACCTGGTACACTTATACTTACATGTTTACTTTTGCCGTTCGGCGAATAACTCCTTGTTGGGTGTATTTCCATGGAGCGACTCCTGGGGAGGCTGCTCGTTTTGCTAGCCATAGTGTTATTATCGAGCCAGTGTACAGCAGAATATCTTGTATTTTTCTCTCTTAGTAATGTATTCTTTGGTAGGTGCGCTTGCTGTATAAGCCACCGTGGTCCTTAATATTATCAGCAGAAAAATTGAGCTTGTTCGTGTACTACTATCTTCAATAGTTCAACCTATCATCTGTTAAAGTGATACTCTTCCGCATCGCAAAGGCTGTCGGCTACCGTGTATTCGTCCACAAGCCCAATCAAAAAGACATTTATGCCAGTGTGTGCGGTACCGGTCTACTTACTAAGTAAACCTTGCTACAGCGCTACAAATGGACACTCAAAGCACTATAAATACACAACAAAATAGCCACAAGCTAAATCGTGTGACTGATTGATTGGTTTGTATGTGCGTGTTTTCTCTTTGTTGGGTATTCAGTACATCAACACCGTATTTGATGTCACTGAAGTGTCTATAGAATTAACCTCCTGCCTTATAACAAACCTTTGTCAGAGTGGTGATGTTTGACTACATATCCTGAGGTGGCTTATATTGTGTAAATACACAAATATGTAAGCGGTTTGGGTCACTCTCTAGGTGTATGATGACTGTATGTGCATCCATCTCACTATTAAGCCAAAATTAGGGTAAAATAGAAATATTTGATCCCTGCATCCCCAAAATTGGGAACGGATCTCACATATATACTTTATTATATACCTATTTTTTTTCTAAATATATTTTTAGTTTTAGCAGTTGATAGGTGATACGCAATTGAGTTCCTCCTGACGAATCCGGTATGTATGACATCATGTTTACGTGGTATACCATTCGTGCATAATTTTGCTAAGCCAATCAGACATCATTTATGTCAGTCCTCAAGTCAGAGTGACGAGTCCTTCACTCCCCATCTGAGTGCCAGACTGACGACTCCTCCCGGTCCCCCGAGTCCCCAGTCCCCAGTCCCTAGAGCTCCCAGTCTCTTGAGCAAGAATCATTTATTTATATTTATATTCCCAGTTTCCCACTCACTCTGCTGGATTTTACTCACACTTATCGTAGCACGAATTGTTTATTTATAATTTATATTTATAAAAATCTGTGGTGAATGGATCTGAACTTTAAAAAAGCTGTCGAGTAACTTCACATCGCATATGGATGTAAATACCTCTATCGAAGCTGGGCACGCTGATCCATGGTTGTGCTTTTGAGGTTGTTTCTGTGTTTATGTGTCCCTGTATGTCCATCGGTATGCTTTTAAGGTTGTTTCTATATTCAACATCGATTGTTAGGCTTAGACGGCTCAAACGTGATAGAAGCAAATTCCCTAAATATATACGTATAATTGTATTTGTATATGTATATGTATATGTATATATGTATGTATATGTATATGTATATGTATATGTATATGTCTAAGTATATGTATATGTATATGTATATGTATAAGTATAGGTATATGTATATGTATATGTATATGTATATGTATATGTATATGTATATGTATATGTATATGTATATGTATATGTATATGTATATGTATATGTATATGTATATGTATATGTATATGTATAAGTATAAGTATATGTATATGTATATGTATATGTATATGTATATGTATATGTATATGTATATGTATATGTATATGTACATATATATATATATATATATATATATATACGTATACGTATATATGGGTATATATATATACGAACGATCTCTCTGGACCTGTTCCGAGGGATTTGGATGATACTGTCACACACCATTTTGCTCTCCTGTGCAACGAAAAACTCTCGTACCCACCAAAGGTGAACCCATCAAGAAAAGTAATTTAGAAATATATAGAATCGGAAGGAAGAAATAAGAATAAAACTCGACAATCAAACTCCGTGTGCCAGCTTACATATCTGGCTTGTTTTAAAGGAATATCTAAGCATAGGTAGACATTGTTTTAAAAGTAATGTCTAGGCATAGGTAGACATTGTTTCAAATTATTGTCTAGGCATAGGTAGACATTGTTTTAGAGGAATGTCTAGGCATGGGTAGATATAGCAACCATAATTGTACGGCCCATTCACATCCACCTACAGAATAGACTATATTTGCTAAGTAGGACTGGCCAATATCCTCTAAGGCGAATGCTGAGGGTGGAGAATGCCACACGTTTACTGCATAGTAACAAATATCTGAGTCACTGAAGCGGTCTGTATCGACACCCAAATGATTCCTATCCTACTCTGCCTGGAGAGTAGAGATGAGGTTATAACATTGCTGGTCCTGGTCTACGTCTTGGTGACAACAATGAGCTATACAAGTACGCATACCGACTCTTTCTTTCATAGGCCAGAGATCATGTTGCCCTCGATTGTCACTCCCTTACAAGATGTATAATCATACTTGACATTTCATCAAAGTGTCCAAGAATTTTCCTACAACATCTCACGCAGTTTTTCCGGGAACTAGCGTTCACATATTGTGCATTGGACTTTGCCACAGTGCATAATTGTCAGTGGTTGTAGTATAGATATACTGCCCCAAAGGGATTCCCTGATCACTGCCCGTGTATTTGTTGAAGTTGTTATGGGCGTTATCGCTACCGTTGATAAGGATTCCAATTTTTTCCGGTCGTGTGGGAGACCTGGGATATCTACCCAATCACAAGGGATTGCTTTCTCTTCTGTTCCATGGCCTATTTGAGAGTACGGGATTCTCTATACCACTCATCATGCGATACAACACACCTGGCCGTTCGTTGTCTAGCTGATATGCTCTTGTGCAGCATCGGTTTGATTATGTACTTCTCCAGCACCTCGTACAAGCCTATAGTTTGTTGTTGTTTGCTGTTGCCTATCACGAAGCAATGCAAATTCAAGCAACATGCTGAATATATTATCTAAGATCGACAGCATCATGCTGTATACACCAAGCAAGCCGCTTGTGTTCTCACGTACACTAGTAAGGCTAGTCCGCTAATTAATTCACGCTAGTTTGGGCTTATATCGATTAACATTAACAGTACTGGTTTGCTACTACCCCCTTTTTATCTACGATACTGCCGTTCGGGTAGAGAGTTTACTCTCAAAAGGCTCGCCAGCTAGCGCCGAATCCCCTCCTGCTGTGTTCATATTAAAATTGGCATCCTCGTCCAGTGTGTCTGTGCTACTGTGCACTACCACGGCGCCACCATCCGAGTCGAGACAATTGGTCAAGCTGTACTTCCTGCAGATAGTCAAGCACACAGTAATGTGGACGGTCAGACAACGTTCCGCGTACGAGGGGAAAACAGGTGCTGTGCCAAACCGACCGGAACACATGCCTGAAAGATACTTTCACAGAAGAACTACAGATACAGGTACATGCTTTTTTACTGAACCTTAATGAACTATCGTCAATTGAGAACTCGACACAAGGTGAAATAACGCGGGTTGTATAGAAAAAATAAATAAGGTCAAATATTTATATATGCATAAACTCAAATAAAAAAGGCCAAACAGCAAGAGGTGGCGCGAAGAATTCTTACATGGGGCTTCGGTCTCCCCCTGATCCCTTTCCTACAAATCGTAACGAAGGTATCGGACTGCTACAAGCAACGGTCTTGCTGCAGCTCACTGTGACGTCTTCCTCCTTCTGAGGTGTGGAAACGTATACAGAAATGTCAGAACACAAATTCTAAGGAGATCTACGTCAGAGTTAACAGAATCAATTTACACTAGAGTGCGTTGAGTTTACAAACTGATTTATTCTGCCTATTGGTGTATCCTTGGCTCTGCAAACTTCAGAGCTGGTTTGGCAATATAGCATGCCGAGTCGAAGTACATCTAGTATGAACCATAATTCAATTACTCAGCATATTTATACCCACTGATGATGTTCACGCACACAGTAAGCACAGGTTTCAGTTTGCAATTGACATACTACACATATACCTGAATTGTGCATAAGCAAGTCGATGGGCATACCTGTTCTGAGATCAACTCGGGACTCTCATCACCTTTCGAAGTTAACTTGGCTGTTGATGCCATGGTAGACTTATTACCGGAGCCTTTCCTTCGCTTCAGCTTCTCCAAGAAAGAGTCGCGTCGCTGCAAACAATGTAGAAGACGCTCATTCGATAAACAAACTGCATACAATTTCGAGTATGCGTGTACTGGCATATTACAAATTTGAACGAGTAACAAAACAATGTGCACACGTACACAGCTGCTGTATTCTCCGCTACCTTGTCACTATCGCAGCCTTCAGTAGTATTACTTCGTTCCCTTCCTATCGAGACAAGCTATTTAGAGAGAAGTAAGACCAGAGTTTAACGATGAGTCATCTAAGTACAAGACAAGAGTGCTACTGTATTCCGTATTCGCACGCTCTCTTGCGAGAAAGCGCCCAACAATGATTGCGCTTTGCAACAGACACTTGTGTCACATACACTATCACTGCCATTATTCGAAAGAATGAACTCATTGACCAACCTTAAGTTCCGGCCTTATGTTACCCAGTTCACTGTTACTGTGGACTGTCAGTTCTCGACTCCGCAAAGGCTCGGAGGTTCTGGCACTCGATACTTCGGATTTTGGAGTTGACAGTTTCTTGCCCCAAGGCGAGAGCATTGCAATTGATCGCTGCAGCAAGTGAAATTCGAAATGTTTAGAACCACAAGATGTAGACCCCGCTACTCCCACTAAACATTTGCTGAAAACTTCCGAGTGTGCATAGTCATGGGAAATCCGAAAAGTGCTGGTTTCACGCCCTGCTAAAAGTGGAGGGTATAATACTCGACAACAAACAACTTACAAGGAACGAAGCAGATCGATTCTGGCATGGGCTCAAGTACTCTTCGTAAGCTGGCGAATCTTTCAATCGCTGTGCAGCGGACGTAACATTGTACAGGAAGAACATCAGGAAAATACGTACGTAAGTGTAATGCATCTCCGACCACACATCAAAACAGAGCTAGCTGATTACAAACTAAGAATACACATAATTTGACATGCCTGCAGTGATATATCGGTGTCGCCGACATATAAGAATCTTTATCGACAAGGCCTATACTGTATAACATTTTCTCCACCAGTATATATTGATCGCCGCATACCTTGTATGTGCTTTCGTAAAGTAGCACAAAAATGCCCAACTGCAGCTTGTCCAGCAAATCAGGTGTACACAAGGTCTGCGCCTCATTCCGCGTTGCTTTAGTTTCGACGTATTGCTTTAATATAATAATCATTCTGTCATAAACGTCGAGGACCTGTTTCTTGTATCTATGGTCGAGATTCACCTACAAGTGTGTGCAATCAGAACCAGAACTTGAGAACTTAGTGTGAATCCATGATTAACTAGCGAGTATGCACGCGAGACATATAGACACCCTATCATCGATAAATGAGCATATCAGGCCAGGAATCACTACGTACGGAAGACATACAAGGTTTCAATAGCGTTCTCAAATAAATGGCAATAATAACAAAATAATGTAGGGCAGCAGGAATATAAAAAAGTATTTAGAAAGTAAATTTAAAGTATAAATAGATAAATGTTATGTTGTATTTGTAGAGATATAAACTATGTAGTATCTGCATCCGCTGTCTTTATTAAGTGAAAATTACACATCCACAGTACAATAATGTGAACAAACGTGTATGTCCACTATGTATTTGTATGTATGTACCCTTGTACATAAAATCATACACAAGTACATATACACATGCATCATAATTGCATATGTACAAGTACGCGATACTTTATATTCACTATACCGATAAGCACTTGAGTATATTCACATACATTTGTATTTAAGGTATATCATGGTGGCACCACCAACCTTGCGAAGAATAATGTAGGTAAAATACAAAATTACGAGTGACAGGCAACGCAAATGTAAGGAAAAGATCCATATGGGGAAACAAACTAACCTCGTATTGGGAGTTGGTTATTAGGAAAGCATCAACAGCACCCACCAAAAACTCAACGCAGGGATTATTTCTATACGCTTCTGCTAGTTGCCAAAACATCAATAACTCGAGGTTTTGTTCTTTGCCGAGTTGGAAAAACACCATCATGCAGCCCAGTTCGTCACTGCGAGAGGGACCAAGGGGACCAAGTGGTGATTTTTTTTGCGCGTGATGAGAATTTTTTGTGTGATAATTTCAAAATGACACAGAACTTTATAAAGTGTCGCTAGTACATACTATAAATTGACTTTGGAAGCCTGCTCAGCTCACTTACCACAACAGCGTCTCGAAATCATCGTATATGGAGCCTGAGCTCTCCATGTGTATACGCAATACCGAATTTGACGACGGCAGTAATGATATGTTGCTTCTATTGTAGTACGAATGTGTTTCATCGTTTTCGCTCTCTTGTTTCGGTTGCAATCATCATCAAACTTTGCCAAGCGGAAGATACGAACGAGCTCTAACTGGCACACACACTATGGGTAGGGACGCAGGAGATTAGGAAAGAATAATGTTAGCTCAAGCCTTTGGCCAATTTTACTCAATCTGTGGTCACGCATATCTGTCAAATTTGCTTGCGCGTTCTACTCACCTAATTTTATTTTACAACAGGCTCGGGCACAGGCAGAAAGAACAGCACAGATATTTACAATACACCACACTAACGTGTAAGCCGGTAGTCATTCGAACCAACACCAGTTAGTAGATAAAGAAATCAATTTACCATTTTGGCCATCAGATTGAAGGCTGCTTCCTGCTCAGGTCTTAGCTGTGAAGGCTTGTCATTGATACACAGAGCTCCAAGTACTACACCTTCCATGTTGACCAGCGGCACTCCGTAATAGAACTTGATGTTCGGCTCGCCCAACACAAGTGGGTTCGCAGCAAAACGGCTGTCTTTCAAAGCATTCAGCACAATTAAAGGCTACGTGTGTAAAAAGCAAGAAAAAAGTTGTATGACTCCATTTCTCGGTTTGTTGGGCCTTTGGCTTTTTTGAGTTTTACTCGAAGTGAACGAACAAAAACACTTATAGCCAACACGATCTTGCCAGGTATACCACATACCTCTTGTGGTTTGTTAATCGCGTGCGCACAGAATGACACCGATCGGGATGTCTCGGGAGCGTCGAGTCCACGTCTGGCATAGAAGAATTGCTTGTCATCCTTCACAATGGACAGGCACACAATTTGGCAACGAGTTATTGTAGCAAATGAACTGGCCAAACTTTGCACAAAGCACGATAGATTGTCTTTCGGAGGCGTCTGTGATATGAAGGAAACGCAAACACAGTCAGACATAGCTAAACACTGCATTTGATAGTTTGACATGCTCACATGTTGATTTTCGACATGGTCGACATGATGTAGTCTGGTAATTACAACTGAAGCTCAACTGAGGGCACCATACTTGGAAGAAATGTTCTGGTGAAATACAACATAAAGTACAGCTCAATGTCAGATTCTCAGCTCGAGTCGTATTTTGGTCGGCTAAATAGATCTTATAACCATAAGTATAGCAAACAAACATTGTGAGAGACTTACATCAAATGCATATTCCTCGATGACTTTTGAACGCAACTTTTCGTTCACAGGTACATCGGGCTCGCTCCAAGCAAGTCTTCTACTATAAATACCACTCATCTGCACTTCAGCTTGGATCTCAAGCAATCGCTTCAATGTGAGCAAGACTTATTCAATGGGAAGTATTGTGTGTAAACAATAATTTACTGAAGGAGAGTGCTATTTACAGTTATACAACCCTTTGTTTTTGTTTTTTAAAAACGAAGAATGTATACACAAAATAAATAAATTATATATATATAAAAGTACAGTGTAAAAAATACTGTAAACAATATCGTTTGATGGATTGAGATTTGACTCATTCGAGGAATCTCTTACCGTATGTATTTATACTATTTTTATATATAACTATTTCTGTATGTCTGACCGTATGTATTCCTATTATAGTATTACTATATTAGACTATTTCCTGACCCTGTACTGTTTTTCTCGAAAAGACACCGAAAAAAAAGAGTGACTTTGAATGTGGAACGTACTGTGTGATTTTATTGGAGTTCCGAAATTGTATTATGTTGTATGTATTTGTATTTTTACTTTGATCATATTCATATCACTGTATCAGCCTTCTTTGCGGGCTCGAGAGTCAGCCTCAGTCAGGTGCTTAACCGCTCCAGGGCTCCCCTTAAAAAAGGATTCCGCTGTATTAGTATACAAATTATAACAGTACTTCTTTATATTTCTTAAGAAAAGACAAATTCAGTACTGTATATCATAGTCATCCAGACATATTTTTAAAATACGCTCACTCAAGTCTCAAAGTCTAAAATACATTTGTACATTAAAAGGTTTTTTATATAAAAAGAGAATAAAATAGAGTGATGACTGACCGGCAGCACCGCAAGTCGCACGACGCACATCTATCTATTTTTAAAATACATATTTAGATATTTAGTTTCTTTTTTCAAAAACCCTAAAAACAAGTTCAGACACCTCGAAAAAAATTACTCAAATTGGGTTTTCATAAGATGAGCTGCTTCATTTTTTGATACGACCAATATTTCAAAATATATATATTTTTGATTTGGCTATACATCCAAAATCGGCCTTTTTGAGGCTAGTGAAGGACTGAAGGTGATGCAATATCGATAGAGCTTCAAAGTTCCAACTCTTCGGATTTGGATTCCCACCAGGGGTTGACAACAATTCTCAGAATATTTTGACGGTCAATATTGAAGCAGAATTTTCAAATTAAGGCTTTATTCAGTTTGAGATTTTGGAATTTTGATATTTTGGAATTTGGCCAAGGTGGTGACCCAGATTTCTGGGGCACGCCATATAGTGTTTTGGACAATTTTTTTATATTGAAGTTTTGGATAGCTCTCCAAAAGCCGAATGCCCTGGTTCAAAAATTTAAAAATGGTTGGTTCAAAAGTTATAAATACGTTTTTGAAAATCGACCGGAGGACCCCAGTTCTTCTTTGTGTGTGTGTCCTATAATATGGCCATTGCCGCTTGCAAGGAGGCTGGCGCGAAAGCTCTTGACACGGCCTTTGAGCCCCATATTCACTTTGTTTTGTTTTGTTTTTTAAAAACAAAACAAAAGCAAAAACAAAAAGGAAGTCTTGACAGTCAGACGTCAGACAGGGTCCCAGAGTCCCAGGCCCGGCCTCCTAGAGGGATGGCTTGTGAGCTGTGACACGCGTAACGCGGACTAAAAGCTAAAAAGAAATATATATAAAATATGACTGGGAGCTAAGCTCATAACGTTATGGGGGTACGAGATAGAAGTTGAACGTAAACGCATCTTTATTCAATTTAAAACGTTATATCGAATATAAGATCAGAAAGACCTACCTATGTTCATTTACAGGACTAGTTTGAATGATGAAAATAGTATACACTTTTAAATGTTTAGACCCGCAAGTTGCACCTATGAGCATAAAAAGGATCGCATATGAAATAAAAGTTGAGCGTAAACGTATATTTATTTCATTTGTAAAAGTTTTAACAGAAAACGGTTTGAGGTTAGACTGGGAGTGGGGATTGGGGAATGTCAATATGTAGGGGTCTGGGACTCTGGGACTCTCAGAGTGACCAAGACTCCGGAGTGCTCTCTCTTGGGATGGCCGATAAATCATGAAATACACTGGTTACTGCTATGTAAAGTGTTTCAGTTATTTATGTAGAAGGCTATGTCAAGACTCACAGAGTCGGGTTCGGTCAGCACATATTCAAAGTATGGCGCAATAGCACGTACGTGCGATTGCACAAAATTTAGTCTTCTTTAGCTCTTGACCCCCCTTGTTCATATTTCGGAAAACAAATTTATTTCAAAACAAAATACAAAAACAAACAAAAAAAGTAGGTCAATTTTAAAATATAATAAATATTTGTGCAGTATTGCTCTCACTCTGTTTTATATATATGTATATATATATATATATCTCTCTCACTCTGTTTTATATAAATATAAATATATATATCTCACTCTGATATATATATA